TTACTAAAAAAATTCCTATTCTGCTTTCTTATTTTTACTTTTTTTATTACTTTTTTTTCTGTGACTTACTCAGTCTAATTCTTCTAATTTCATTTTGCTGATCGTTTCGATCTACCCATTTACAATAGGCAATAAACTTTTATCTTATTTCATTTTTTTTTTTTTTTTTTTTTCATTCATCAACAACAAAATGTGTAATTTGTAAATGTTCATCTGTTTTGAATAAAATTTTGGATTTAGTAAACATAGGGAAAGGGCTAAAAATTATTGTACAACGATGAATATAAAAATAAATAATTTTTAATCGACAGAAAGAGGAAGTGCAGGTCATCCGAATTAATAATTAGCGGAAAGAAAGATAAGGTGATCTGGATATTATATTCAACACTCTACTTCTTCGTTCCTTTTGATTCTTCTTAAACAAACAAATAGTTGGACTATCTGCTGTCCCGCAGCTTGTGAAGGAGCGTGAGACTGTAGTCCACAGTTTTTAGTTTTTGATTTGAAGCTGAAAACAAACTTTAATGACATTAAACATAATTTAACAAAATTAGTAGCAGAGCGTGGTTGATGATCTCTAGCTATTTGTTTGCTTATTATATATTCTCTTATTCCTATCTTTCTCTTAAGAAACACCAAACACCATTCAATGAAGCATGTTAATGAATGACGCGGAATACCCCTTATAGTACACTGTGCTCGGACGCGTGTATGCTGTGTTTTTGCGGATAGCATGGTATATGCAATATTTCGTTATAACTAAAAAAAAAATTAAATAAATAAATAAAACCGCACAATCACGCCCATCAGAGCGGATCGGATTTTTTGTTCTTGCGCTGCCGGCGGTTTTTCGCGCTCGACAGGATCTCGTAGGCCTGCTGGATCTCGAGGAACCTCTCCTGGGCGGCTCGACGCTCCTCATCCGTGCCCTTCACCTTGTCCGGGTGATGCTCCCTCGAGAGCGCCCGCCATTTGGCCGTCACCTCGCTCTGCGACGCCGTCTGCGAGAGGCCAAGGACCTGCAGGACCATTTTTTCCCAATGTAAATTATTTCCATTTTTTTTTTTTTTTTTTTTTTTTTTTTTTTTTTTTTTTTTTTTTTTTTTTTT